GGCGGCAAGTTATTGATTGCTTGAGTCATTACGAAAGTACGCGACGGTTTGCGACCAGCGACAGAAGCCAAGGATCGGACCAAACCGGACAATTGCAATCCACCGCAATGGGGGGAAAAAGTAATTTCCGCTCTGAAAATTTGGTGGGGAGACCTATTTCTCACAACAGAAAAGCAAAGATTTGATGTAATCCTTCTGCCGCCCCGAAAGCAGGGCCTGCCCAGCGCCTCGGGGCACCTCAGCCCAGCGCCAGCTCTGCCCCAGGGCTGCTGCGCCAGAAGCAGCACAGAACTAACAAATCGCCGGGCAGAGGACGGAAGAAAATTAATCACACTGTATTTCAACTTGTATGGCAGCAATTTTTCTCATTTTTAATATATACATGAATAACATTAGTCACTCTGGGATCACTCAGCTGCTTTAAAACAAACCATCTTCTGAATTGCTTTAAGATCAATGTTTTTACCAGCAGAAGACAACGATAGCATATGCATTTAACATCCAAATGTATTTTAAAAGTCATTTTGGGCAGTTGCCTATCTCAGTTGAAGTGGATTAACTTTAAAAGTCAAAGTCCTTTTCCATAAATGCCAGAGCTGTGAGGCAGGCAGAGTTTATTGCTGTTGTAACATACATCATTTCGCTATGAAGGGGCACAAAATGCTGGAGTAAGGAAGTCACAAACAAGTGGTGGCACTGCCTAACTCTTCCTGTTCTAACCCATGATTTGGAAACTGACAAAACCATTAAGCAAGGCTGCAAAAGGAGAACTTGCTTCTCGTAGCTGTTTGTGATACACGAGGGCTAATAAAATCATAGAATGGTTTGGGTTGGAAGGTACCTTAAAGATCATTTAGTTGCAAGTCCCCTGCCATGGGCAGGGACACCTTCCACTAGATCAGGTTGCTCAAAGCCTCATCCAATCTGGCCTTGAACACCTCCAGGGATAGGACATCCACAACTTCTCTGGGCAACCTATTCCAGTGCCTCACCACCCTTAGAGTGGAAAATTTCTTCCTTAGATCTAACCAAAATCTGCCCTCTTTCAGTTTAAAGCCATTGCCCCTTGTCCTGTCACTATACACCCTTGTAAAAAGTCCCTCTCCAGCTTTCTTGTAGGCCCCCTTTAGGTACTGGAAGGCTGCTAGAAGGTCTCCCCAGAGCCTTCTCTTCTCCAGGCTGAACAACTCCATAATAGGAGAGAAGACAGGCACACAGCATCCTGTAGAAAGTTAGATCCCAGCAGAGAATTACTAGAAAAGGATGATTTCTGTGTACTTACCCAAGAGCTGCAATCCTGACTTTGGATTGTGCGCAGAAGTGGACAAGCTACCCAAGACTGAAAGGGGCTAGGGCCAGCCATCCAGCATGCCAAGGTCCTGCAACCCTTGTTGTGGTGTCCTGTGGTGCCACAATCACCTCTTAAAATTAGCTCAGGTATACTTAGCACCAGCTGTAGTTGTGTATTTTAAGTAAAAGAACAACCTTCCAATGCTGCAGGGTGCAAGACTTAATGGAATAGAGTTCTGTGCCTTTTCTTTTTCAATGGGGGGGGGGGAAGAAAGAAAAACCACGAAGAACAGAACCCCAGAAAAATACATTTTGAGGAAGATACTTTATGTAAGAAAACTTTGAGAGATTGACCTGTTTAGTTTGTCAAAACATCAAGACTCACGTAACGCTGCTCTAAGCTCCCAGGCAGCAAAGACTTTCTTCTGGCAGAGAAAAGCGTGCAGAGGACTGGTACCTGGAAGCCAGAGCCAGCCCAGCGAGAAACTGCAACCAGTGTCACTCACCACAGTGATTCTGCACGTCTTAGCAGTTATCTTCTGGTCAAGACTGCGAGCCTTGATGGAAAATTGACTTCTACGTTTCAGAAGTTAGGGCATAAACGCACCTATAAAAGCCACAGCTGTTATGTAATACATCACTGTAACATGCATAATACTACTACTTATTTAAGGCTTAACACAGACCTGAGAAAATGGATTGGTTTGTGGCAAAGCATCTTCCATTGGGCTTTCCAGTTTTCACAAACACCGCTGATACACAGGAAGATACCAAATTCTTAAGGTCATCTCTGACCACACAGTAAGGAGGGAGCTTTTCCTCAACTGTCTTGCAAAAAGGTGGAACTACCAATTTTTTCGAAAAAGAATTCAGAAAATTAAGAAAAAAACCGTAAATTTACACTTTCCCCGTTATCTCTGTGAATTGATGGAATAAACCACACAAGACAACAGTCTCAAAACCTGAACTGCTACCCATGCAGCAGGTATTTCAGATGCACCAGCAAGAGGACGAGCACGGCTTCTGAACACCGCTGCATCAGACCGACTGCAAAGCGGACAGAACAGACTAGCCCGAGTAAACACCACAGGCTCCAGGTCCTCACGCTCCTGCTTCCAAATACGTGCAAAGCCATATTTAAGAAAGGAACAGACTTTTTTTTGTGTGTGGTGGAATTGTATTTAATTATTTTTTGTATACAAATTAAGAGAACATAAAAAAAAAAATCATTATTCTATCAAACTGAAATAAGCCAAACCAGCACAAATCAATATTTCAAAAATACTACAAAGAAAGATGAAACAGCTATAGCAGGAAGAATAAAAAGCTTTTCAATTCCATTTTCTGCAAAATTACACTCTGAATACTACCTCACACACACAAGAAAGCAGCCCTCAGTGGAAAAAAAATCCAGTGCAAAAGAGTTTTAAACTCACATATTATCAGAATGCAATGGGAGTAAATTCACATTTGAAGAGAGCCGTCGCATTTTGTTCTTCTCTTCAGTAACAAGATTATTGCACAGAAACAGTCAAATGCTTTTTTTTTTATTAATACTTTACAGCTTTAGTGAATCTGAAAGTGATGTTGTGAGGTTCCAACATTTGTTACTGCTCAAGCACTCCACGTAAAACATACTGGTTCATACAAACAAAATGTGTTTATCTGATGAGCTGAATTCTTTCCTTCTCATGCACCAACCTCAACAATAATGATTTTGCTGCACCAATCAGGCCTTATGCTTTCATGGTGACCATTTTGACTTCTGATGATGATGCACGAGAAGAAATCATAACCCAAGTAATACCTAAGGTGGGCTGACTTTGCAGGACCAGCGGGACAAAAAAAGCAATGAAACCTGTTTCTCACTCAAGCAAGCTCGCTATTCTCTGATTATATTCTCAAAGTGCCAAAACAGGCTATCTATTGAGAACTGTGCTGCATTCCTCTCAGAACCAGATCTCAGAGCAGGAACGCACTTCAAGTTAAGTTCACAGTTGCATAGTAAAAAAGTCCCATGATCTGCTGGCTAATTTGTGGTCTTACTGCCCAGGTAGAGCTCTCGTAGTAGGCTAACTCAACCTAAAGCAATTTGCTTAACCCAGAAGTCAAAACGCTCCATTGAAGTAAAGTAAGGTAGAATTCAGTTTTAAACAGTGGTCTGAGACTACTAAAAAAAAAAAAAGAGATTAACACAGAAATAATTTTAAAAATCCCACAACCACACATTAATTCTACTGGATAGACTTAAATTGAGACACAGAAAGAGAACATCTGACAGTCGTGTTGCAGACAGCCTTGAGAGCACTAGTTAGTATTATTTTTTTCAAAACGATGAGACAAACAACGGAATAGGCACTTATTAGCACCAAAGGAAACACAGTATTTCTCGATTTATAGCTAACCCCCAACTACAGAATACTTAGTTGTCAACTCCACCACCGATTCTAACACCTGACGCATCCAAATACCACCAGCAGTATCAACGCTACAGTCGGATAACGCTCTGGATGACCATACTTTGACTTCTTTCAGAACGCAATGGGATTCTACCAAATCAGCGTGACAGTGCGACTACCCAGGTAGCCCAGTTAAAACACGTTTCAGTTATTGTTTTATGCTTTTAATCAGTATCATTCAGTGTAAGTATAAAAGCTGAACCAAGTTAAATAGAAAATATAGTTCTATGGACGCTACTCATGGGATCAGAAATGTTTTCCTTTTTTTATGAATCATTTTTTCACAGCATCAAAGTTGTCCTGAATGGTAGGGCAAAAGGCTAGGACAGCTGGCCACAGTCAGTAATGACAATCTTTTTGGAGGTCTTTCCACTCTTGGAACCAAAGCTCTCAATTTTTTTCACGACATCCATTCCTTCCTTCACATGCCCAAAAACAACATGTTTTCCATCTAGCCTGTAAAACAAATAAACAGAGGCAGTTATACTTAAAACAACACAAAGACTGAACCAAACAGAGCTCAGTGAAGGGATGTTAGCAGATCTTCATTGCTCTCACCTGCTGATGAACTCTATAGCAAAGGCACAATTGCTCTAAAAGTGACATGAACTCCTTTTAGCTCTGGACCTTAAGAAGCATTATGAGGGATATCGACCCTTCCTCCCTCAAGTAGCACAAACCAATTTATTTTCCATTGTGAGTCAAGTGATTTGGAAATTAAAAACAAACAACCCAAAACAAACCAAACAAAAAAAAAAAACTAAGAAAAGCCAAACCCTCTGGATCCAGGCGTCCATTCACCAGGTTAATATGCAGAGCTGAGAACCTACCAGTCAGTTTTGGCAGTGCAAATGAAGAACTGAGATCCATTCGTATTGGGTCCTGCATTGGCCATGGAAAGAACACCTAGAACAGCAGCAGCAGCTTATTAGATTGGTATAACAAGTATGCAGCAGAGAAGACAATTTTTTTTCCTCTGCACATTAGTCTAGTCAATGGACAGACTGAAGATGTGACAGTCTCACATTGTTTTCAGGTATTTCTAATGCCAACTTTTTGTCTTTGACTATTCCCCTGAGCTCAGCTTCTCTTCTTGCCACAGCAAGAGTGTTAGCAACATATTTAGTTGTACACATCCTGAATGTGCTTAACACCAGGTAACCTCTACCGTGGTTCAACAGCAGCAGCAGTTTCCTGTGATGAGAAAGTAACAATCCAAAGCAGAGAGACTGCAGAATTCAAATCTTATGTGTGGCTTTTCCTTTATTTTTTCCCCCGATTTAAATGGAGCTTAAAAGGACGTGCCTGTGTTATCTAGTAAATAAGAAATCTCAGATTGCTTTGTTTCACTTCTGCAGTAATCACCAAAGTAAAAGTTCCAAGTCTGACTCACGAAAGAGAAAAACAAAAGCAATAACTTTACTGCTTGAACTTTACTTGGTAGAATTTGTACGTAAAATACAAAAATTCCATACTTTATTTTTCACAGTCCCTTTTATAGTAAGAGCAAGAGTGGCAACGTCACCTGTTACAGGCTGACTTACGTTTGTACATCAGTCAACACAAATAAGCACATGCCAGGGACAATGCATTGTTAAACTTCTTTGATATTTCTGTAACTACCAAATGCCCCACATATCTAAAAAAAACTTTATTTTTTAAAAACAATAAACATAACATAAACAATGCTCTATAGGTTAATAGTCATTAGAAGATAGAAAGAATATGTTTATTTACCAGGTCCTACATGCTTAAGTACGAAATTTTCATCTGGAAATCTACTGCCATAAATAGATTTTCCACCAGTTCCATTGTGATTTGTAAAGTCACCACCCTGAAACAGAAACGGCTATTAACTTTAGTAGCACACAAGTATTATTTTACACAAGAAGTGATGCTATTGAAAATATACTTCCTTGCTCTAATTTAAAAGTAATAAAATCAGCAGATTTTCTTCAGGTTCAGAATGAGTATGGTCACATGAGGATTTAAAACTATGTAACTAGATGACGATACAATCAAGCTAGAAGTAAATTTCTGCTCCAGATATTGCCGATATTCTCCAGCTGAAATCCCTAACTCCAACAAGCACCCTTCTGTGTTACCAGCCTTGTTCCCTAGTGTGATCCAACAAATACAAGTAATTTTAAGAAACACCTCAAAGGCTTCAAAACAAAAATCACCCAAATTCACTACCATAAGAAAAACCTAAGGACTCTTTTTTTCCCGTCTGTCTGTCTTTCTCTCAACAGGTATAAATACTGGTCAGGCTCTCCATTATTACTATTTGCTATTTCTAGGTTTTGTTGTTTAAGTGTAACACCTGAGCTATTTTAAACTTCCTTCAGCTACATGCTGTTTGTTGGGATAGATGTGACCACCTGCCTTTGGTTAGACACATAAAACCCAACAAACAAATGAAAAACCAGCCACAGTGACTCCCAGAGGTGGCTACTAAATACTGCTTCAAGCCACCTGTCATCTGCTCTCCCAGAAGTGACACCACCCATGCTGGCAAAGAACTTGTACTGAACAAGTATTTCATGTCACGTTCATCCCCGCCTTCTCACTTGGAGCCATCTATTACAGGGGGTGTTACAGCTACTCCTACGCAGTCCCACAAGTATGCTCTGCATGCCACAAGGCACCTGAATTGCCAAATCCTGGGTATGATGACCTATACAATTAGGCCTGAATCATATTAACACTCCATCTCAACAAGTGGAAAGGCCTGTACTGTTTCCTCTCACTTCAAAATATTTGAAACCTATGGCAGTATTTCCACTTCGGTAATGACTACCAAGTAATTTCTACACACCAGTTCATCATCTCACTGTACCACAGAGTCAACCATCTAGTATCCTCATTTTGGGTCCATTTGTGAGGACAAAACAGGGAGGCAAGGAGAACAGACTTACATAGAACTTCACAAACTAGTGGTAGAACTGAGAGTAGGATTTCTATTTTTCTTATATTTACGTATTTCTGACCCCAGCAAGACTTTTAAACTTTGTCTCGTCAGTATCACAAAACCTGAGTTTTCATTTTAAAGGCAAGATAATAAACGCGCTGTAAAGGACCTGTCTCCTTTCTCGTAGAAACAGGTCATAAGACTGGGGCTTCTTGTTCTGAGAGCTGACAGCTGTATTTTTAGCTAAAAAAAAAAAAGTGAGGAGAGGGGGACCATCATGGTCATCAGTTAATAAATAAAGCACGCTTACTATAACCTTCATCTCAAATTTTTTACAGAGCCATTCTATGATGCAATGCTGTGAAATGTAGTTTCTTTAAAGGGAAGAGAGGATCACCAGGAATCATACAATCCAGTGCACTACAGCAGCTGAAACTCTGCTCATCTGTCAAGCACAGCAGAAAAAAAGGCTTTTTCCCTTTGTTTTTTGTTGTTGTTGCTGCTGCTGCTTAAGAAAAAATTGGTAATATGCATGGACTCTAATTCAGAATTTTGAAAGATTCATCCTTTAAGTCAGAACAAACTCCATTTCAGGTGTGTCATCCCAAAAATTTACCCTAGCTAACCCTTTTGGTTCCCTCCTCCCCTCCATATTAGAGAGATGTTCAGAAAAAAAAAATATTAAAAACCACATTCTCTATTGTGAACAATTATCCTACTAGGAATAAAGAACGGACACATTGTTTTCTTAGCTTACTTAGAACACAAGGTTGATTGTCCTTCTACCCACACATGCTTCTCCCAAGCAAGTGCTATTTTGCCAAACAAGCCCCACACTAAAGTACACTACTATAAAAAAGCAGAAAGCCTTAAACCAGGTTTTCTAAGACAGTCTATGCATAATTTACAATTATTTGTAGAAAAGATGTGCTAAGCAACAGCAGTAGCAAAAAGATCAGAAATGCAAGTCACACTGTCACTTCTTCATGCTGTAGTTAGCCAAGGCTAGAGCAGAACTGAGCCACTTAAAACGCTACTATTAGTCTAACTGGTTCTAAAAATATATAAATAACATACAGATTAATTTAATAGCAAAAGTAAAAAAAAAACCCACCAACATTACCTGGCACATGAATGAAGGAATCACTCTGTGAAAAGTGGATCCTTTATATCCAAATCCTTTTTCACCAGTACAAAGAGCTCTAAAGTTTTCTGCAAAAACAAAGCATAATGTTGCCATACATGATACATAATATAATCAAACATAACTGGATTATCTACGTCCCAAGTTCATACACTGCAATAATTTTATAGTATCTTTAAGGTATTTTTGATTTATTACTTGTTTCCATGCTTTAAAAAAAACTCCTCTGTTACAAAAGCTAAGGAAACAAAGCTTGTTTAGCCTCAGAACAGGGTACAAACACATCCTTTTTCCTTCTCATTTCCCTTTTGTTTTGGTGTTATATCTTAAGTCCAACCTCCCTCCCCCCCAAACCCACCACTCTGGGGTTAAGATTTTATTTTCTGACTTTTATGCCTTTGTTCTCTATAGTAATTGTGAAGATGATGTTTTTGTTGTTGTTTGTATTTTTTTAAGGATATTAATCTACTGGAAAGTGAAAGAAAAGTACAAGTTTTTCAGAACCGCTAAATAAACAGACGAGGAAGGAAGCATGTGATAAAACAAAAAAAACTTTGTAACATGAGTGCACTTGGAAACTCCAAGAGACACCATCCCTTTGGTTTACTCTTTCCTATTTGCTTCACAGTTTGATTTTAATGCAAAACTAATGTGGTTTTAAACATATTTATTTATCCCTGATAACCAAACATATGGACAGTACAGTTTGGCACAAATTACAAAACGAAACTGTGTGGAACAACAACAAATCATAACTCCTCACTAGCACTGTTCTGACAAAGTGTGTATCATACTTCTCTATTTAACAAATGGGGATGGAATATGGAAATAGTTTTCAAAAGATAACAGAATATTCTTGTTCCTGAAAATCACAATCCAAACCTTAAATATTGAAGTATGAAATTCTGGAGATGCTGTCTTACCTGCCGTCTTTGGAACCACATCAGCTTTCAGCTATTAAAGAAAAATAAACAAACAAATTAGTAAGTCAGATTTTTCATATATGTGTAGAAAAACTTATAATGGGAGGCTGGTACAACTGAACTCTCTTCCCAAGGAAACGAGCTGTCTGAAATCACAAGCCACCCAAAATTCCAAGAACATCTTAAGACTCTCCAAGCATTTGGCTGGTAATTAAAAATATCCCCTCCATGCAACTTTTGGCCAGTTAATGAAGAACAACTTGAGTAGTGTCCAACTATTTCACTGATCAACACAATAACTTGGCAACAACTAAGAAGAATCTTTATGAGGGACACCAAGTATCAAAGCCAGTTCCAGTAGAACTGTAGAGATCAAAGTCTCCTCAGCACAGAGCCACCAGTTGAAATCCACAGAAAAGACGAAGGAAAAAGAAGAACAGAAACTGTATATTAAAACTGACTCATGATGTTACATACACATTTGCTACCAACAAAAATTTCTGATTTTGGTTAGTATACATCTTTTCACTACTCTTAAAAACGTATGGTGCTATAATTGCCTGGAAAAAGTGACATAAAAATGGCCACATCAGGTCAGACCAAAGTTTTATATCTTGTCAGGCATCCTGACAGTGGCCAGCAGCAGGCACCCAGGAACAGCATGGCTGTGGCAAGAGGTCAATGTTCCTTCCCTGGGATGCCTTCTCCTTGGATGCCTATAATTTGCAGCTGAATTTAACTACAACTTAGCCAAAGATCGAGGCGATGCTGCAATACATTCAGATTCTCTGTAAACTGGGCACACTAAAAAATCTTTAACATGAAAATGAAATGCTGCCAAAAGAAATATAGTAACATTAATGCTATTTTTTATAACACTGTCCAGCCATTTACTAAATCTCACTGATGAATAAGGAACTTGCACAGCAATATTTTTACCTATGACTCTCTTGAATGCTACCTCCTGAGAACATGAGAGTTGGTGATGTCCAATTAATTTATATACTGACATTTCAATGAAGAAAAATGAATTGGGCTCTAACCTCATGAGAAATACTTTTAGAGAGAACTTTATTAACCACATTTCGAAAAAGATCTATCGATACAGACCCAACACAGGTGCTGGAGGCAGAAGGCCACACCGAGTTCACTCAGTAGGCAGCAATTCGGAAAAGCAGCGTTGCCCCTCCAGTGCATGGTTCTGGAGCGCAGCCCTCATTCCTTCCCCTACACAACACATTTATTCAGAGGCACGTGCCTGGCCCTAAGGATACGTAGGCTACCACAACTGAAGTCCCAGTGCTTATCATGCTTTAAGTAGGAGTGGAGTGTACCACAGTTTTCCTGTTCAGGCCTTCTTTAAATGGCTGAGCATTTCAAAGACTGAATTTTTAATGATAAAGCTGGCTGCTAGCTGGCTGTCGAGCTAGCTGCCAGTTCAAACAGAGCTGCGCCAACCTTCCAACGCACATGAAGCAGGAAGCTCAAAGAGGCAGTACCTCAGAAAACTCAAGACTGAGAATCAAACAGTAAGCACCCAGGGAAAAAAAAGGGGAAAAGCAGGACAAACTGGAGAGGGGCCGAAGAGCTGTATGGGCACGCTGCCCCCGGAGCAGCCAAGCGCCGGGCGAGGGTCCGGCCGTTCGCCGACAGCTCCGGACCCCCAGAGCTGTGCAGGGGCTTCGGGCGCTTCATCGCTCCTGGAAGCATGCTTGTCTCTCCCAAGCCAGCGGTGCTTTTCCGCAGTAAGTTTACTCTTGTTCAGTATTTCAGCTTTCATGCTACAATTCCAAGTTTTCTTCCGCTGAGGCTCCTACCA